CAGATGTTGTCATAGACATTTAACCTATCACTGGGGGAAAATGTTTTCTCTGATGAAGATGTAAACTTTTTTTATTTTTCTTTTTAAAAGATGACCAGTAAGTGGATCTTAACCCTTGACTTGGTGTTGTCAGCACCACGCTCTCCCAAGTGAGCTAACCGGCCATCCCTACATAGGGATCCGAACCCGTGGCCTTGGTGTTAGTACCACACTCTCCCAAGTGAGCCACGGGCTGGCCCTGAAGATGTAGACTTTCAACTGCTTGATTCCACTTGCAGTACTTCTTTTTTCCTTGAATAATCACTTAACCCAGCACTTAGAAATATGTGAAGCCACATATGTAATTAAAAACTTTCTAGAAGCCACATTAAAGTGATAAAAAGAAACAGGTGAAATTAACTTTAATAATTATATTGCAGTTAGCTCAATATATCCAAAATATTATCATTTCAACATGTTACTGATATAAAAGTTGGTAATGAAATATTTTACATATTTTGTGTCCTCAGTCTTCAAAATCTGGTTTGTATTTTATACTTACAACACATCTCAATTCAAACCAACCACATTTCAAACTAGCCACAGTGGCTACTTATTGGACAGCACGAAGTTGACCTTTATTTATGTAGCTTTGTCATTTCATAAAAAAGAGGAAGTATTTCTTATTTTTTTTTTTTTGTCCTTTTTGAGACCGGCCACACCACACTCAGCCAGTGAGCGCACCGGCCATTCCTATATAGGATCCGAACCCGCGGCACGAGCGCTGTTGCGCTCCCAGCGCCGCACTCTCCCGAGTGCGCCACGGGCTCGGCCCTCTTATTTGTTTTTCTAATCAGTAATATCATAGACCATCTGGACAAAAACTCACTCTTTAATTAATTAAAAATTATCTGATTGGGCCGGCCTGGTGGCGCACTGCTACAGTGCGCCGCTTGGGAGCGTGGCGGTGCTCCCGCCGAGGGTTCAGATCCCACATACAGACCGGCCACTCACTGGCTGAGCGAGGTGCGGGCGCAGCACCGAGGGTTGCGATCCCGTTGCCCGTCACGAAAAAAGACAAAAAGAAAAAAAAAATTATCTGATGGATGAGAACAGAGTTTAAATAATATTTGACAACAATATTTAGAAGTTATAAAATGACAATATTGTGCCTACTGGCAATTTTAAGCAGAGCACCATTATTTTTAAAGTTTTACCCACCTGATAACATATAGAGGTATATTTAAAATGGAACGCTTTATGTGATTGCTAACAATAGGATACAGAGTTTTTCTCACCTTAATGAAACAGTATTTGGAGTTCCAATTAAAGAACAGCACTGAATCTTTATCTTAGAAGCAGAGCCAAGTGCTGGGCACAGTTAAGATCCTCTGTACCAAATGAAAAAAAGTGCCAGAAATCTTGGGTTGGAAGTGTGACCCTACAGTTATGAGCACTAAGTACAGCGCTGCTTGGGAAATCTGAATCCTGGCTCCAGCAAGTCCTAGCTGTGTGACCTTCAGCAAATTACTTAACTTTTCTGAGCCTCAGTCTCATTATCTGTAAAACAGAGATAAAAAAAAAAAAATCTTGATTCTTGGGTAAGCTCTTGAGAGAACTAAATGCCAAATAGTGCCTGGCACAAAGAAATGAGCAAAAAGTATTAGCTTTTAAATGATGACTATCAATCTTCAAAATCTGCTCCAAAATTATACTTTTCTAATACGCAGATTGGAGAGGGGAGAGACCTAAGCAATGTAGAAAGAGATGGGTTTCTGTGTCCAGTGCCCACCTAGTGCAGAGCAGCCAACTCAGGGTTTGCATGTGACCCTGGAAAGCTGGGGTGCACCAGGAGCTGGAAGACAGGGAGATCAGATTCATTAGTGACACGCAAGCTTTCTAACAACAAACTATTGCAACTAAATGATTTACTATATTCTGCCATAGAAAGAAGGCTAAACTCTGTCATGTGAAAAGAGGAGATATTTCATTTTGAATGAAAAATCATAACTTTTATGATAGTAGAAAGAAATAAATCATTTCAGTATTTTTTTATGACAGATTTTGTACCCTGGAGAAAAGAAAAAAATGCTCTCTGCTCAGGTCTTTCATTACATTTTGCATCATTTAAAGCATTATTTGTGGTGTGCATGTGCTTCATTTTAAAATGC